GATCCTGCTTGTGAATAATGTCCCTTTACGATTTTGATCCTTGCTACATGCTCTAATGCATTAATACTGTAGGAAGGTATTTTCTGTGGCCACTAAAATATCCTTACACACCGCTGGCACCGCTGGCGGCGAGAGCGTCAAAAGATCGCTCTGGCCGCGCTACCCACAACGCTGACCACCGGCGGCGAGAGCGTCAAAATTCGCTCTGGCTGCCCTGTAGACGCTCCACGATCGGTCTTTATTTAAAGGGGCCGCAAACATACCAAACAAGCGTTCTGATCTTGTGCAGACTTACCACAAAAAGGGTATAACCTTATGATATATCTTAAATGTGAAAGTAAAAAAAATATTAATGGAAAGAACTTAACTTACATGTTACATGTTTGCTAACGAAATAAACCAATTAAAAGCTATTTGTGTGGCGTGGCTTTTGTGTTCAATATTTTAAATTTTAAATGTATTTAAAAATGTATGTAAAAATTTTTTTGAATATATATTTATTGTATTTAATTAACAATAATTTGTACCATTAATTTGTGTGCAGCCTACATTGAAAACAGTCCTGGTTAAAGTGTAGCCTTAACCCTTTCATGCATGAATGATTAAATCACAAAGTAAGATTTTTTTATATTTATTTTTTAAACCAGCGAAAAATCATGCAAATAACTTTTTTCAATATATTTTATTTTGAGGGAGTTACATATCTGTCTACTGTAGTGGACACCGTGAATAAAAGGTTTAATGTAATTGGTCAAATCCGTGTTGTTTTGAGCAAATGAATTGCATTCCCGCTGAAAAACAAGCGTTCCAGCGCGAAATGTTGCCTATAAATAGTGTTCATTTTGCTTAAGTAATTATTAGTTGTTGTTTTTTTTTTACAGATTCTTGGCTACCGGGTTGATGGCAATTTAATTCTGCTACAGTTACTACTGGCAGCTCATATAAATAATTGTAATTAATCATAATTAATTTTAATTATTTATATACTATATATAAATAATTTTTTATTTATATACTATATTATAGCCCTATTGAGCTAATTTGCTACAGTATTATTAAAAGCGCTATATAAATAAAGGTGACTTGACTTCATCATTTTTCATAGTCATACAGCCTGCTAGGAGTTATAAATACTATTAAAGTGTGAGAATTAACCTGCGCTAGTCTACAGTTATGGCCAAAAGTTTTGGTAGTGACATAAATTTTGTGTTTTGCAAAGTTTGCAGCTTAAGCTGTTGTGCTGTTCATTCACATTGTTTCTAGATTATTGTGTAGAGTGATCAGATGGATTTTAAATAATTGGTAAAAGCTTAATTGGCCAAAAAATGAACTTTTCACAAAAACAAATTTCACTGTTTTTTGATCCTGACCTAAAATGACCAGCTAACATTAATTGAATAATCATATCAGCAGCACATGTTAAAGTGTAAATGAGTACTAGTCAGGTTCGCTACAGAACAGGACCGTCTCCTCCTGAGGAGTCAGCTACAGAACAGCTACAGAACAGGACCGTCTCCTCCAGAGGTGTCAGCTACAGAACAGGACCGTCGGCTCCTGAGGAGTCAGCTACAGAACAGGAACGTCGGCTCCTGAGGAGTCAGCTAGGGAACAGGACCGTCTCCTCCTGAGGAGTCAGCTACGGAACAGGACCGTCTCCTCCTGAGGAGTCAGCTACGGAACAGGACCGTCTCCTCCTGAGGAGTCAATATCAGCAGCACATGTGAAAGTGTGAATGAGTATTAGTCAGGTGAAATCACTATCATGCTAATTAGATTGTAAGAGCAGACTAACGCCAGGACCGTCTCCTCCTGAGGAGTCAGCTACAGAACAGGACCGTCTCCTCCTGAGGAGTCAGCTACAGAACAGGACCGTCTCCTCTTGAGGAGTCAGCTATGGCCTGGTGTCAAGGAGGGCAGCAAAGAAGCCACTTGTCTCCAAGAAAAATGTCAAGGACAGACTGAAATTATGTGAGAAGTACAAGGATTGGACAGCAGAAGACTGGTGTAAAGTTATTTGCTCTGATGAAACTCCCTTCCGACTGTTTGGGACATCTGGAAAATTGATTGTTCGGAGAAGAAAAGGTGAACGCTACCATGCCAACAGTGAAGCATCCTGAGACCATTCATGTGTGGGGTTGCTTTTTAACCAAGGGAGTGAGCTCTCTCATAATTCTACCCAAAAAGACTGCCATGAATAAAGAATGGTATCAAAACTTCCTGCAAGAGCGACTTCTTCCAACGATCCATGAGCAATTTGGTGATGATCCGTGCATTTTCCAGTGTGATGGAGCACAAAGCAAGAGTTATAAAGAAGTGGCTCGAAGATCATTACATTGAAATTTAGGATCCGTGGCCAGGCAACTCCCCGGATCTCAATCCCATAGAGAACCTGTGGTCAGTCCTCAAAAGGCGAGTGGACAAACAGAAGCCCACAAATTGTGATCAACTCCGAGAACTAATAAGGCAAGAATGGATCGCCATCAGTCAGGATTTGGCCCAGAAGCTAATATCCAGCATGCCAGAGCGAACTGCAGAGGTTATGAAGAACAAGGGTCAACACTGTAAATATTGGCTCATATTTTTTTGCCAATAAAAGCCTTTAAAACTTATTATATGCTTATCATTGTTTTTCAGTATACCATAGAAACATGTGGAAAAATAATCTACAAATACTGAAGCAGCAAACTTTGCAAAACACAAAATTTATGTCACTGCCAAAACTTTTGGCCACAACTGTACAGATGTGTGTGGCTAACAACACTCGTCAATGTCAAAATAATTCAGATAGCCAATCAAATCAAAGTAGCCGATGTTTTCTGTTCACAGAAGCAGGGTGTGAAT